TTCTCCCCACCCACCGAGCCCCACCTGAACAGCCTGTGTTGGTAGGTCTCCCTTGAGGGGTTGGGGTAGGCCAGGTCCCCCCCCAGCAGCAACACATCACCCCGGGGGAGGACCAGGGGGCTGCCAGGCTGCGTGTGTGTGTATGTGCGAGTGTGTATATATGTGGGGGAAGGGGAGGGAGAGGGAGGGAGGTGGTGAGCAGTAAGAAGAGGGGAAGGGATGGCGAGGCGAGGCGAGGCGAGGATAAGAAGCTAAGGTGAGGGAAGGAGAGCAAGAAGGGGTGCTCAGACAGGTGACCCAGATGCCGCTGCGTCAGGTACTGTGTGGCATCAAAATGGGGTCCAAGAACATCAGGGGGGGGATGTGCTGTGCTTGGGGAGGGGAGCGTGCTGCAGGTGAGACGGCGAGATGGCAGTACGGTAATGTGTACGACATTCGTGTTAGTGCTCCTACCTTGGGCACATACGGCATCCCCCCGGCAGCGGTACGACACCGACTACCAACAGCCTTCGGGTCGCCGTTGCTTGCCCCTGCCGCCGCCGCCGCCGCCGTTGGTGATAATGACACCGCCTCCGCCGGCAGCGGCAGGTCCGGTGGTACGGCAACCGTCAGCGCCGGCGCCGCCAGCGCCGCCGCCACTGCGTAGGTCGGGTTGCCGCCGTCACCCGTATCCGCCATGAAGTCCAACCACAGCTGTGTTACGTCCGTATGTATGTATGTATGTGGGTACATGTTCGTCCACGAGTACGTGTTTTTCGTGTGAGGTGGTTGGGGTTTGGGTTGACCGGGTGTGGCGGGTGTGTATGTGTGTTAGGGGGCCCCCCGGGCCCGAGCGGGGGAAAGGCTTAGGGTTACACCCGTGGCGCTGGTGGCGGGTAATTAGGTGGGGGAGAAGCTGGAAAACGACTATGGTAAGGAATAGGGTTTTGTGACGGGATGATAACAAGCTGGATGTGTGTTACGGAAGGGGGGTGACCTCCCCCGCGGAGCTGCCGGAAAGTGGATATGTACGACACACGGGGCATAGAGTGCAGGGCGGTATGCGTGTGCGTGTGATGACAAGTGTGTGTATGCGTCTAGTACGAGCTACCAGTCGTACATACCTGGGGTCGCTCGTCCAGGTGCTCGTACGTGAATCCGTCTCCCTCACTGGGCGTGTCGTTGAAGGAGTCCGCCATGGAGGCGGCGGTGGCGGCCTGAGGAGGGGGAGGGGAAATGGGTGGGAGTATGTCTGTCTGTCTGTCTGTCTGACTGTCTGACTGTATGTCTGTATGGTTGGGCAGCTATACGGGACACCGACTGGTCTGGCGGTATTCTTTCCTTTTAGTTGACGTAGGGACCTCGCCGTCGACCTAGGGGCAGATCGCTGCATGATATTGGTACCGGAGTCCGGACCTTTGAATCAGTGTTGTGCATTTCACCCAAGTCCCCTTATCCCTCCCTTCCTTACCTCCCCCCCACTTCCTTTACCCTCCGTAGCCTGCGTGTCTTTCCCCTCTCCTGCCGAACCCCACACACACCTACCTCCAAGGTCCGCATATCGAATCTTCCCAGGAACAATTTTACTGAGACCATCAAGTCGAACAACGTCTTGAACAAATCTAGAGTACAACGGCGAAAGGGTCGGAACGGACCGGATGATGCTGATGAAAGTGAGAAGGCCGCAGAAGGAGGGTGCGAGGGTTCCAGCTTCTCGGCAATTTATTTTAGTCTATCTGAAATACGATAGAATAGTATTTTCATGTCAGCCGAAAGTTATTTAATCGTCATAACCGATTAACCGACTCAGCCACCCACCTGCACTGGTTCCCGAATACCAAGGCACCTGTGTGGGAGGAGGAGGAGGAACAGGTGCGACAGATTTGGTTTCGGAGCTAGGGATGTTGCAATAAGTTGGGGCAGTTAGTTAAAAACCCGAGCTGGGTCGCGTCGTAATCGTTAGGACTGACGGGCTAAGCCACACGGGAAGTACGTCATGCGTCCATTCGTACAAGTACGGCATCTTTTTATCAAGAAAACGACAAGAACGGCCACGACCTTTCAAACAGGAAGAAAGAGACCTCCGTTTGATTCCCGCGCGGCCTACGACGTTCTCCCTGGCTCCCTTTGTACGGCTTTGTACGGCTATTTCCATCCTTCCCATCATTCCTGCCAGGCCCTCGGCTCGCACCATGTCCAGAAACTCCGGCTGAGCTGGCGGACCTGTCGCAACCGGTAGTAATGCTGACGCTGCGGAGCCGCCAGACCGCGCCGCCGCAGCTGCGCCGCCGAAACCGCCACCGCCTCCGCCACCGCCTCCGCCACCCCCGACGGCACCCGCAGCCCCGGGGTAACCCCAAACGTACGACGGCAAATCGGCAGTAGCACCTGCTTTGTTGCCGACGGCAGCGGCGACGGTGGATTCGGACGCTGTAATGTACGGCAGCGACCGCGTTGTCGCCGCCGCCGCCACCGCGTCGTCCGCCAGTGCGGAGAATGAGGACCCACGGGTCAGCGCGCGCGCCAGGTCCGGCGGCAGCCCTGTCGCCTCCGCCAGCCCTGCCGCCAGGTGGGTTGGCTCCAGGGCGGCCATGCCCCGCCGTACCTTCGTACGACATCAGCAAAACAATTCCATCACATCACACCACCAAACAAAGAAGAAAACGAAGAGGGAAACCTTCATCGCGCAGCCCTTGGCGCTGCCACCCTTATTTCTTATCATTGCATCTAATTAGCTCTCCAGAACTCGACACTAATTGAATTGCACTGAAATGCACTCCTCATGCCGCGTACGTGATCCTCAACAACAGGACTAGAGATGCACAACGACACTCCGGTTCGACTCCGGTTCGATACACAACCGCCCCTGGAGTTCCAGCTCGGCCGCAATCCTAACGGGGTGCTAATTTCCGTCGAATTCCTGTTCGACCCCACCCCATCCCACCCGACTCAAAGAGCCTCTATACGTTACCCATACAGACTCACACAAGTTGCTCGAGCGCCACCCGCACCCTTCACTAACACACGCACACAAGAGGACGACGGCGGCTACCCCACCTGTCCTAGCAGCGCTGGCAGGTAGGGGTGCGAGCTCAGCAGGTACTCGGAGGCCGCTCGCCGCAGACGGGATGTGGAGACCGCCAGGCCGTGGAGGGAGGTCAGGGACCGCCGGGCAGCGGCGGCGGCGGCGCCGCGGGCGGCGGAACCGCCGGCAGCGGCCAGCGCCGTCGCGGCGGCGACGCTGCGCGCTGCAGAGCCGGCGGCGGCTGCCGCTTTGCTGAGCCCCTTGCTAATGGGCTTTTTGATCTGGATCCAATGTACGGAAAATAGAAGGGACGTGGGAAGGGAAAGGCGGTGGTTAGGAAGAGAAGAGAAGTGCTGATTACCACACTGACATAACCTGAGACAAAACGGCAAAATGAACGTGACGCTAGAACGTCGCGACAGTATTGCCATAACGTCCTCGAAGGTTGAGGAACTGAGATGTGGATGTGGGGGCTGAGTGGTCCGCCAATATCAGGCAACTTAGCATGCGGCAGGGGCTCGACCGAAGAATGTTGGCCCTGGGGGCCCCCCCCTTTGGTGGTCCGGGGAGTACGGGGAAAGTGGCGGCGGACGTGTCGGTACCGGTGGTCAGGAGGGGGGGCACTGTCACACCAGGATTCAACATCCTTACAAACATTGCCCCGCTCTAACTCGCCTCTATGCCGTCAAGGCTGCCGTACCAGCAACCCAGAGCTGCCGTACCTCGAGTGACCGGTGCCGTACAATCTTGCGTATTGCTCCATCAACAGCAGTAGCTGGGGCAGTAGGGGGTTTAGCAGTAGCAGTTCCGGGTGCAGCGCCGGCGCCAGGCTGCCACTTGGCGGCGGAGGTGCCGCCGCTGCCGCCGCCGCCGGCGGCACTTCGCCGGAACAGACCCAGGCGCCGTACGGTTAGTAACGACAAGGGTGATGAAGACCAGGAGTATAAGGCCCCGGCAGCGGTTTCCGAACGTGAGCGCGGGCGTGCGCCGCGATCTGACGCTCTACCACCGCTACCGCTGTTGCTACTGCCGCCGCTACCATGACTCCTGATACCGCTACTGCCCGTTAGTGCAACCTCCGCGGCTGCCTGGACGAGCCGTGGCTGCCCCACCAGGGTGTTGGCTGTAGGGGGGCAAGAGCGTATGTATGTATGTATGTATGTATGTATGTATGTATGCAAGAGGACGTTATCTATATCTTTGGAGGATAACGCAGCTCAACATGTAGCACATACATGCACACATGCATACACACAAATTGTAATCCGGGGTGAGAAATTGCTCACACACGAAAGCCGCAGGACTGACC